TTTTAATTAACCTTAAAATGGCCTAAATTGATTCAAAAATCGCTTAAAATGACCGGAAAATGGTTTGAAATGACCCAAAAGTTGCGTAAAATCACTTTAGAATAGCCTGAAATCACTCAGAAACGGCAAAAATGGCTAGAAATTGGCTTAAAATGACCCAGACCTGGTTGAAAATCACTCAAAAATGACTAAAAATGACTTTAAAACTGTCTAAAAGCACTCTAAAACAGCAAAAAACAGCTTAAAATGACCCAAAAATGGCATACAATGACTGAAAATGAACTCTAAACCGAAATTTCTGAATTTCCAGAAGACGCCCTGTCAATTTGTTCGGAATTGGATAAAGGAGGTACTTCAAAGTCATCAGATGCTAATAATGCAGTCGCCACGTCATCATCCTCCTCGGCAATCAATGGAAAATCAAAAGGAGCCGATACGGAGAGTATTGGCTCGGAGGATAGCTCGAATTGTGAGTTAAATTCATCGGAAATCTGTGAAAAACGCGTTTTTCTTACATTTTCACGTCGTTAACACTCTTTTTTATGCGATTCCCGTCATTTTGATACCCATGTCGACCTAGTTTGATAAAGTTTTGAATTTTGACGTCTTCTGAATTCAGAATTCACTGCAAATTCAAAATCCGCTCAAACTAGGTTGATACAGGTATCAAACTGTTGGAAATCGCATGGAAAAGACATCTAACGATGAGAATTTATCTGAAAATTGCGTTTTCAGAATTTAGAAGACGTCAAAGTTGTTTGGTTTGTCTTCTGAATTCCAAAAAACCAATTTTCTGACATTTTCACATCGTTAACTGTTTTTCTCATGTAATTTCCGTCATTTTGATACTCATATTGCCCTAGTTTGGTTAGATTCCGAATTTCGACGTCTTCTGGAATTCAGAATTCACTGCAAATTCGAGATTCTTCGAACCAGGTCGATATGGATATCAAAATGACGGAAATCACATGGGAAAGAAGGTTAACGATGTGAAAATTTCAGAAAATCGGGTTTTCAGAATTTAGAAGACGTCAAAATTTTTTCCAACAAAATTTTTTTTCCGTTTAAACCTCAACAATCGTCTATTTCCAGCGCGCACAAGCGAAATGCAACCATGGCGTGGTCGTAACTCAGCTGCCAGGGCTCTCCAACCTCCAATCGTAGATCGTCGGAACATGTTCTCCCTCTACTATCGTCTTCAACCCCTCCCAAGTCCCTCATTCGATCCATCAACAATTCTTCAAGGCTCCCAAGGAACAAAGCGGCCTTCGTTCACCGAGATTCCATCGTTTTCTCCAGTAAAAATGCGCAAATCGTCTTCTCTGAAACGAGAAACAGCCCAGAATCGGTCGATGCATCAGAATCCATTGCTCATCTCAATCGAATTCCATGGCATATCGATTCGTTTGCCGAACCAAAACGGGATTCTCCACCAAATCGAGCCCTTCTTCGTGCGATTCTTTGTCTTCGACGCTCTGGATGGTCGTAGAATCTGCGAGGAGTTTCAAATTCTGGTCAACGGAGACGATTTGCACGTTTCGGAGCCAGTTTTCGACTCTAGTTGCCTGGTGAATGGCATCAAACGGTCCCTTCTGGTGGAGAGAACTGCCAATAGAGCGCTTTTGCAACTTCCACCCACTACACAGAACCATAAGGATCTTTGGCTGGTTGTTAGAGTGGATAGGGGCTTGTCGGCCGATACAGCAGCCGAGTTGTATATGAAGTTAGTCATTTAAATAGCCAAAAATAGCCCTAAAATCGAGACAAATCCACCCAGGATTACTGTAGCTAGGTATTCTAGGGATACTGTAGGTGAAAGCCACGGATAGGACACTCAGGGTTACTGTAGGTACGGATTACGCTAGATATGAGACACGAAATCGACTAGAAAGTGAGAGACTGATTGACTCAGGATTACTGTAGCTAGCTATCCTAGGGATACTGTAAGTACGGAATACCGTAGATTTAAGTTGAAAATCGACTAGAAATGGAGAAAATAGCGTCAGTGTTACTGTAGCTATGTATTCTAGTGATAATGTAGGTAAGGATTACTGTAGATCCGATCTAATGAATCTAGAAAGCTCATGGGTTACTGTATGTGTATGAAAATGGCCAAAAATAAATCGTCAAAAAAGAGCCCAAAACCCGTGGAAAACCGGTCCAGAATTACTGTAATTGGTTTCTGAAGGATTACTGTACCTAGGGACTACTGTAGGTCCGATCTGATGAATCTGGAAAGAAGGTAACTGTAGGTACGGATTACGCTAGATATGAGACACGAAATCGACTAGAAAGTGAGCGAAATCCACCCAGGATTACTGTAGCTAGCTATCCTAGGGTTACTGTAAGAACGGAATACCGTAGGTTTGAGTCGAAAATTGTCTAGAAATGGAAAGGACTATTGTAGAATCGATCTAATGAATCTAGAGAGCTCATGGGTTACTGTATGTGTATGAAAATGGCCAAAAATCGTGAGAAATCGGTCCAGGAATACTGTAGCTAGGTTCTGCAGAGTTACTGTATCTAGGGACTACTGTAGAATCGATGTGTGTGTGTATGAAAATGGGCCAAAAATCGATCCAGGATTACTGTAGCTAGGTTCTGCAGGATTACTGTACTTGAGGACTACTATAGACGCGATCTGAGCAATCAATAAAGCCAATGGGTTACTGTAGACACGGTTGTTGTCGAGGTTGGTCATGAAAAATCGCTGAAAACCTTTTTAAAAAATGACCTGAAAAATGACCTGGAGGCGAGAAAAATACACCCAGGATTACTGTAATTGGTTTCTGAAGGATTACTGTACCTAGGGACTACTGTAGGTCCGATCTGATAAATCTGGAAAGAAGGTAATAATGAAAAATCGCTTAAAAATCGTGAACAATCGATCCAGGATTACTGTAGCTAGATTCTGCAGGGTTACTGTATCTAAGGACTACTGTAGCTTGAAATATTATACTGTATCTAGATTCTGCAGGGTTACTGTAACTAGATATCAGGCTGAAAATCGCTGAAAATCGTGAGAAATTGGCTCAGGGTTACTGTAGCTAGGAACTACGGTAGTTTGAAATATGATACTGTAGCTAGGTTCTGAGGGTTACTGTAACTAGATATCCCAGGTACTGGATTCCTAGGGTTACTGTAGATTCGATCTGATTAATTCAGAGAGCCGATGGGTTACTGTAGATATGATCTACTACCGTAGACTGAACTTCACAACTTCAGCAATTGGATTACTGTAATTGTGACTGTAGAGTACAGTATTCTAGCTCTTCAAGTCGCATTTGTAGCTTATGGGTTACTGTAGTATAGAATTACTCCCCATGCTTCAAAATCAAGGCTTACTGTAGCTACAGTAATCCTTCTAAATTGTTCAGGACTTTTCGAATGTTTTTTTTTCAACTTTTTCAAGAACTACAGTAATCCAAAACTATCGATTTTCTTGTGAAAATTGGGGGCGGAGCCTATTTTTAAAGTTATAAAAGTCTCATTAAAACGCTGCTCAAAATTTGTCTTTTTTTTGGATTTTTTTCCCAAAAAGTGGGCGGAGCCTATTTTCCAAGACTACAGTAACCTGTTTCAACTAGTTCCAGGGCCTGTTCGGACGCCAAAACCGTCGCAAAACTCCAAAAAACGATATCCCAATCGATGACCCGTCTGGCCGGCCATCGTCAGCGATTCGCGTGGACCGCCAAACCCCTCTTCCCAGAATTCCGATCCGACGTCTTCACCACTTCTGGATCCACGTCTTCCACCCTAACGTCACCTACAACTACAGTATCCGGATGGTCTCGGACGTCATCTGACTGCCTTCAACTATTCAGATGTGAACCCAATCGATACAGTGACGTGGATTTGCAGAAGAGTCTTCTGGAATTCTCGAAATTGGAGAAACAGAGCAAGTTAATGGTGCCGAATGCGTCGATTAGTGTTGCTGTGAATACGAGAGCCAGTATTACAGACTATCTTAGTGAGTTTTTTGGCTGAAAATGGCCCAAAATTGACTCAGAAATGAATTTTGAGAAACTTTAACGTTTTCCAAATCCTGAAAACGCAATTTTCAGCGATTTTCACTTCGTCAATCGTTTTTCCCGTGTGATTTCCGTCATTTTGATACCCATATTGCCCTAGTTTAAAGAATTTTGGATTCTGAATCCAGAAGACGTCTAAATCCCAAATCTCACCAAACTAGGTCGATATGGGTATCAAAATGACGGGAATCGCAAGAGGAAAAAGGTTGACGACGTGAAAATTTCTGAAAATGACGTTCTGAGGATTCTGAAGACGCCAAACTTCTTAATTTCATCAAAGTTGGACAATATGGGTATCAAAATGTCAGAAATTACATGAAAAAGAAGGTTAACGATGTGGAAAATAGGTTTTCAGTCATTTGAACAAAACTTTAGCCAAATTTTATAACTTTCAGACCGCGTAAATCCATCACTCTACCCGCTGAATCCATGGAAACCGGATGATTCAAAAGGTGGACCGCCCGTTTTTCAATTACAATCGTTTGGGGACCAACCGAGTCATCCACACACAACACTCACCAATTTGCTCTATGTCTATCCAATGTCATTGAAGTGAGTGGGCGGGGCTAGATTTGACGTCTTCTAAATCCTTAAAACTCAGTTTTCTGATACTTTCACGTCGTTAGATCTCTTTTCCATGCGATTTCTGTCATTTTGATACCCATATTGCCCTATTTTGAAGGATGTGGAGTTTTGACGTCTTCTAAATTCTGAATTCAGTTGAAACTCAAAATTCTTCAAACTAGCTCGATATGGGTATAAAAATGACGAGAATCACACGAGAAATACGATTGACGACGTGAAAATTTCAGAATGCTGCGTTTTCAGGATTTAGAAGACGTCAAAGATACTGAATTTGACGTTTTCTAGATCCTTCAAATTCAATTTTCTGAAATTTTCACGTCGTCAACCTTCTTTCCCATGTAGTTTCCGACGTTTTGATAACCATATTGCCCAGGTTTGAAGAATTTTGAAGTTGAGGTGAATTCTGAATCCAGAAGACGTCAAAATCTAGAATCTCACCAAACCAGGGCAATATGGGTATCAAAATGACGGAAATTACATGGGAAAGAGAGTTAACGATGTGAATTTGTGTGAAAATTGGCTGAATTTTCAAAAAAGCCCACTTTTTTTTCAGGTATGACTCCCAAAAAGCGTTCTCCAAAGCGCGTAACATCTCGTGCAACGTCCGTTTCGTCCGTGGAGACCAAGCGATACCCGAAAAAGCAATGGTGGACCGAATGTCGCCGTCGGGACCCTACTGTATCTCCTCCACGTGTTCCATCCAACACCATCAACAGAATCCAGTATTCGGAGAGGAAATGAAGACTCAGCTTCCCCTGAATTTGACGACTTCTGACCACTTGCTCTTCTCGTTTTCCCACATTTCAGTGGCGGGAAATTCGAATTTGAAGTCTTCGGAATCCACGGAGACGCCCATCGGATACTCGTGGCTTCCGTTGGTTTGGAAGAAGGATCGACTGATTATGGATAATGATGAACAGGAATTCGCATTGCCGGTGGCTTGTGATCTACCCGCCAATTATTATCGATCCAAACCAACTGGAATGGCTGGCAAAGGGGTTGGTTTTGGCTGAAAATCGTTGTAAAATAGCTTCGAAGTAGCTTGAGATGACTCCAAGACAGCTAAAAATGACTAAAAATCGATTTTTAACGGTTTGAAATTGCCTGAAAAACCTTGAACGTCATCTAACTTCTCCAACAGCTATTTTCTAGATTTTTCACATCGTCAACCGTTTTTCCCATACGATTCACGTCATTTTGATACCCATATTGCCCTGGTTTGAAAATTTTTGGTATTCTGAATCCAGAAGACGTCGAAAATCAGAATCTTACCAAACTAGGGCAATATGGGTATCAAAATGACGGAAATCGTATGGGAAAGAGAGTTAACGGCGTAAAAATTTCAGAAAATTGCGTTTTTAGACTTTAGAAGACGTCAAAGTTCGGATTTTTTCAAAACGTTTGACGCCTTCGAACTCCTGAACGCAATTTCCTTTAAATTTTCAAGTCGTCAATCTTGTTTCTTGTGTGATTTCCGCCATTTTGGTACCCATATCGACCTAGATTGGTGAGATTCTGAATTTTGACGTCTTCTGGATTCAAAATACACGAAATTCCTCACACCAGGTCGATATGGGTATCAATATGAAGGAAATCACACGGAAAAGAAAGTTGACGACGTGAAAATTTCAGAAAATTGCTTTAAAAACTTAGAAGACGTCGAAATTCTGAATTTTTGGAACTTTTTGACGCCTTCTAACTCCTGAAAACGCAATTTCCTTTAAATTTTCAAGTCGTCAATCTTATTTCTCGTGTGATTTCCGTAATTTTGATACCCATATTGCTCTAGTTTAAAGAATTTTGGATTCTGAATCCAGAAGACGTCAAAATTCTGAATCTCACCAAACTAGTTCGACATGGATATCAAAATGACGGAAATCGCATGGCAAAGAGGGTTAACGACGTAAAAATAGCTTCTAGCGTTAATGCTGTAATCTACAGTAACCCAAAATCTTCGAAAAATGCAAAAAATGGCATTAGCAAGACCAAAATTGACCGTTTCTCACTCTTTTTTTCAGTCATTTTTCAGTGGATTTTCCGCCCAAAAACTACAGTAATCCATCGCTTAGTTTCTATTTCCAGGAAGAATCGCACCTGTCCGAAGTGCGTTGGGTCGACCAGAAGCCTCTGTTCCGTGTCCGTCTGCGTCTCTGCTCGTCGGTCTTCACAACAGACTCCAAACTGCAAACATTCTTTCAAGCTTGCGATCGCTTATCAGCTAAAGGTATCATTGGTGATGCTGCCGATAGTTTAAAGGTGAGTAATCGGTCTGAAAGTCGGCTGAAAAGGACCTAAAATACTGTAAAAATCACTAAAAATAAGCTCTGCCCCTTTTTGAAGGAAGCCACGCCCTAACTACAGTAACCGAGAAGCCACGAAGTCCACTTTTCCGGTCTTTTTCCGTTTCAAACTACAGTAACCCTTTTTCTAGCTAAGCTCCGCCCACTTTTGCTCTAAGCCCCGCCCACGTTTCGTCTCTTCGACTAAAAATACAGTAATCTTTATATTAAGCCACGCCCCTTTAAGCTCCGCCCACGAAAATACAGTAACCCCCTAACGTTTCAGAGAATGGTGAAATCGAAGTCATCATCACCGCCATCAGACCTCCAGCAACAGCAGCATCCACGTTCTTGTAGTCCGATTGCTGATTCAATGCAAAGATCGTTATCATTGGAGGACCCGGATCAACATCCCCATATGAAACATCTTCTACAGGCGATTCGAGTATGGAAATGCACTAAAAATGACCCTGAAACTAGATTTTTCGTAGTTTCTAAACATTAAAATGTCTGAAAATCACTAAAAATGACCGAAAAATGACCAAAATAGCCTTTGTAATAACCTTTGACGTCTCCTAACTTCTTAAAACGCAATTCTCTGAAGTTTTCACGTCGTCAATCTTTCTTTTCGCGCGATTTCCGACATTTTGATACCCATATCGACCTAGTTTGATGAGATTCGCATTTTCGACGTCTTCTGGATTCTGAATCCAAAGTTATTCGAACTAGGGCAATATGGGTATCAAAATAAAGGAAATCACATGAAAAAGAAGGTTAACGTCGTGAAAATTTCAGAAAATTGCGATTTCAGAATTCAGAAGACGTCAAAATTTTTAAATTCTTCTTCCCCAATTTTCTTCCTACAGTACCCCCTGTCCTACCGTATCCCTCTTCCTCTCCTTACCTACAGTAATCGGTGTATAAAAATCACTAAAAAGGCTCGAATTGAGCTAAAATTCGATGATTTTCCCCCTCCTACCGTAATCCTACCGTAATCCTCTCTGTCTTCCAGCTCCTCTCCGACGTCCCATTCGACCGTCTGCTCGTCTATTTCCCCATTGTTCTGGGTCGTCTGTTCGCAATTCTACCCCAAGCACCCACTGATCAGCTTGCCATCGCCACACTACGGTATCTCTATCATATCTACAGTAACCCCAGAATTTGGCGGGAATTCAAAAATCTGAAGTTTTAAGGCGAATATTAGCTAATTTCAGCCCGGCTTAAGCTAAAATTTGAACTTTTTAGATCAAATTTGGCTTAAAAACTACAGTAATCCCTGAAAATTGCAGCTCCATCATCTCGATATGCGATTTGTGTCAACAAAACGGTCGACCGCGGGTCGTCCGCCGCTTCGTCCGCCACAATTTTTCGGATGCGGCCGCCCGCGAGCAATTTGTGTCCCATGATGCCACCATTTATGCAGTCATTTGTAGACATTTACCCACTCTGGTTGGTTGTTTTTAGCTGAAAATTTGCTGAAAATGACAATTTCTAGATCCAAAAGTGCTCAAAAAGTCATTTTCTGAGCTCTGAAACCTCGAATTTTGAATTTCCCGCGTCTGAAAACCCCTAAAAACGTTTTTAAAAACAAATTGCCACCGGTGGGAGTCGAACCTGTGACACTTTGGCTCGAAAATTTCAGCTCAAAATCCCACTAGGCCATTCGAGCATTTCTTGGAAAAATCGATTTTTTAGGTGGAAATATGGGTTTTTGGGAGGTTTTGGGGGTATTAGAGGTGTTTTAAATTCCAAAAAACGTGATTTTCGCAGTTTTCCGGCGATTTTTGATCCAGAAATGCCAAAAAATAAATAAATTCGGAACCAGAAATTGACCGAAAATCGGCTAAAAACTCATTTCTGAGCTTTGAAACCTCGATTTTTGAACTTCCCGCATCTGAAAACGTCTATAAAAAGATTCAAAAACAAATTTGTCACCGGTGGGAGTCGAACCTGCGACCTCTAAATTGGAAATTTCAGCCGAAAATCCCACTAGGCCATCCGAGCAATTTTTTAAAATTGGCAAAAAATCGATTTTTTGAATGGAAATAAGGGTTTTTGTGGGTTTTTTGAGCCCTTTAGCAGTATTTTTAGGCCCTACAATCGTGATTTTCAAAGTTTTAAGATCTAAAATTACCATTTTCAGCCGAAAAATGACAATTTTATGCCAATTTTCAGCCGTTCTACAGTAATCCTTCTCAAAATTTGCTCTTTTCCAGATGCGTGAAATGCAATCCGAACCCCCGGAAGAGCTCTCCAAGTTATATCGTCAGTTATGGGTCCTCACCGACGCCGTCGTGGCGTCGATGTCTCAGACGATTTGTGCTGAGCAATTGAATAAGATATCACAACGCGATCGTTTTCCACCGGAGATTCTGGAACAAATGGGACATTTGCTGGAGGTCGCCGTGCCTCAAATTGTGCTAAAACACAAGGAAATGAAGGAGGAGAGCCGGTGTGCGAATTTGGCACTGGCTTATTTCACAAGGGTACGGTTTTGGGGATGAAAATATTCGAAAAATTGTCTGAAATTGCCTGAAAATGATCTCAAATCGCTCAAAACCTGCCATTTTCGAAATCCCCGTCCATTTTTACCCCAGGAAGCCTATTTTAAGCCAATTTTGAGAATGTGTCGGAAGATATGGTGTTTGGTACGCAAACACCAAGCTTCATTCAAATTCGCTCAAAAGAGATATGACGAGGTAAAAAGGGATGGGTAATTCGAAAATACCAAATTTTTTTGAAAATTCTGCTTTTTGGTGTTTGCGGACCAAACACCACATCTTACGACACTTTCTCCAAATCGTCTGAAAATTGGTTTCCAGGAGTAAAATGGGGCGGGAAGTTTGAAATTAAGTCTAGTTTTATGACATTTTTACTTTTTAGAAGTGCTATGGACCATTGCTCATTTTTAACTTTTTTCTTCCGAATTCAAATTGCTCTCAATTGACTGAAAATGAGCCCAAATCGCTCTAAAAGTGTGATTTTTTGACTTCGCCGCCCCTTTTTACCCCTGGAAATCTATTTTAAGCCAATTTTGAGAAAGTGTCGTAAGATGTGGTGTTTGGTACGCAAACACCAAACTTCATCTAAATTTGCTCAAATTTAATATGACGATGTAAAAAGGTATGGTTAATTCGAAAATACCAAATTTTTTTGAAAATTCTGCTTTTTGGTGTTTGCGGACCACCACATCTTACGACACTTGCTTTTCATGTGCTCAAAATTGGTTTCCTGGGGTAAAAATGGGTGGGAAATTTGAAAATTGAATTGGTTTTTCAATATTTTGAGTTCTAATAGGTGTTTTGGATCATTGCTCATCCTTAACCTCTTGCAGTTCGCCCTAAGTTTCGTGGATCGAGGCGTCGTCTTCCGATGGATTCACTTCTACATCTCTCGCCTAGATGACACTGACTTCCGAGCCCTCCGTGACTACAAAACGGACCTTCTGGAGATTCTGTGCCTTCACGAGCACTTTGTCCCTTTGAATCTCCCCGTTCTGATCAATTGCTCATCTCAAATTCAACGACTCAACTACTCGGGCGGAGTGATTGATTCACAGATGCAGACGACGAATTCCAGTGGAGCGGGATTCCTATCGAGATTCTTTAACCAGATTTTCAATACGCCAACGTTGGAGACGAATGAAACGGATCGATGTGGGTTTTCGGCTCATTTCTCGGCTTTGAAACCTTGATTTTTGAATTTCCCGGGCCTGAAAACCCGCAAAAACACTTTAAAAAAAAATTGTCACCGGTGGGAGTCGAACCCATGACCCTTTTTTCCAAAGTTCTGCGGAAAATCCCAATAGGCCATCCGAGCATTTTTTAGAAAATCGCAAAAAATCGACTTTTTCGATGAAAATATGGGCTTTAGGGGGTTTTTGAAGTGTTTTTGGCCCCGAAAATTGCGATTTTCGCAGTTTTAAGACACATTGTGATCAAAAAATCCCAAAAGACCTAGTAAAGTGGCTAAAATTGGTGGAAAAGCTGATTTTCCAGCCTTAAAACCTCGATTTTTGAACTTCCCGCATCTGAAAACGTCTTTAAACAGATTCAAAAACAAATTGCCCCCGGTGGGAGTCGAACCTGGGACCTCTAGATTGGAAGTTTCGGCTGAAAATCCCACTAGGCCATCCGAGCAATTTTTCAAAAATCGCAAAAAATCTATTTTTAGATGGAAGTATAGGTTTTTGGGGGTTTTTTAAAGTATTTTTGATCTCAAAAATTAGCTTAAAATGCTCCCATTTTAATTTCCAGACGCCTCCTGCTCGGGAGAATGGCATCTGAGCCCGTCGTTCGCTCAGAATCACTTCATCGTGGGCCTTCTGTTGCAGGAGCTGGTGGCGTGCATACGAGAAACCAAGGATTATCGGAAACGACCCATTTCGTTGTTAAGGAACCTTTTGGCCAAGCATTCGTTTGATAAGAGATATGGGGATATGGTAGGTTACGGTACCTGCGCTTAAAATAGTTCATAGGCTTGGAATTTGGCCAAAATTAGCTGAAAATGGTCTGAAATTTGCTCTAAATTGACCAAAACGAGCCTAGAATTCACCTAAACAGGGACCAAGCTGGGGTACAGTACCCCTTTACTAGATTACTGTACTTTTTCCAGACAATCCAACGTCGAATCTCGATGCTCTACGCCCCTGTGCTCACATTTGCCCTCGATCACCTCCACGAGCTGATCTACGAGGATTCAGACGACGTTGACGCCACGCCCACTGGATACCGATCCTTCCCAACTCATCATCACTCCACCATGGCCTCATTAGCCTCGGCAAAATCGATTCTCCGATCTTCTGGTGCCAATCGATACACTGAATTCTCAAGAGGAAGTCCTGTACGAACGTCCAGTCCAGTACCATCCACACACTCGACGTCACGACCACCACAGATGCCGCCGCCGCCACCGATTGGAGGGCAGAAAGTAGGACTTTGGCTGAAAATTGGTCTTAAAATGTCTATTTTCGCCTATTTCCCCTCATCCCTGAGCCCAGAAACCTCGATTTTTGAATTTCCCGCCCCTGAAAACCCCGAAAAAAAACTCTTAAAAACAAATTTGTCACCGGTGGGAGTCGAACGTGGGACCCCTTGGCTTCAAATTTCAGCTCAAAATCCCACTAGGCCATCAGAGCAATTTTTTCAAAAATTTTCGAAAACTCGATTTTTGAATGGAAATGTGGTTTTTGGGGGTTTTGAGGCTTTTAGAAGTGTTTTCAGGTCCTAAAATCGTGATTTTCGCATTTTTTAATGTCCTGAAGCCCAAAAACTGCCTTCCAAATTGCTCAGATCTGCCCTGGAATCGCATAAATCGTTCATTTTGCAGACAGTACCACCACCTCCATCATCTTCAACTCCTTTGGTGGAAAAACTGACAGAAGACGAGATTCAGGATATTCTCATTTGTTGTGTCTTCATTCTACAACGAATGCCCAAGCGGATTCTGGCGGCGTTGTGGAGTGAAAATGAGGGAGCCAATGCGGAGAAGATGATCAAATTGCTAGAATTGATTGTCGACGTTTTTAGGTGAGACTTTTTTGGCTGAAGTTTGGCTGGAAATTGGCTGAAAATGACACAAAAATGGACTTTTTTACACCAAAATTGGTCTAAAATGACTAAAAAAATTGCCCATAAATATGCTTAGAACCGCTCATTCCGATTCTACAGTACCCCTTTCTTCAGATACCGTGGCAAGGAACATGCGCTCCGCCGAACAGCTGCGAATTCAAAGACACGATCACAGTTCACGCTGAATCTACCCGGAAGAGCATCGACATCAAATCGAATGTCAGCGGAAATGATGGACGAGGATCCGAATGCGTCTGGTGAGGCTGAAAATTGGCTGAAAATAGACTGAAAATGACCCAAAAATGGGATACATAGGGACCACAACATTTTTTCTCGAACAGCTTTTTTCTAAAAAATCTTTTTGATTTTATAGTAATCTCCTCCTTTTCCTAATTAGCATATTTCCAAATTTTCGTTCAAAAATATTCACTCATTCCCGAATTACAGCTCATTTTGTTCAGATATGAACGGTTTTCTCAAGAGATTTTCTGCTGAAATTTAGGTTTCAGAGGGCTGGAATAGTATAAAAACTTGTCGGAAAAACAGCCTAATTTTACGAATTTTCGCCGGAAAATGATTCGAAATCAGAAAAAATTGAAAAAAGCGAAATTACTGTGAGAAAAAAGCTGAATAATGAAGTTCTAGAGAAATCACTATCAATGCATCCGAAAGGTTCTGCCATCATTCATAACATCATCTCATAGAATAAAAAAAAACATTTCAAAAAAATTATTCCACAATGGGGCTGAACCCGCATGTCTCCGATTAGCAAACACCCATCTTAACCAGTACACCAAACCAGCGCACTTCAAGTGTCCACACGCGCGCGCTCCTAGAAAAAATGATTTTTTCGACGGCATTCGGGAAATTTCAAGACAAAACTGCTTTGCATTTTCCTGCGCTAACTCGCTGAAATATGTCACAGACATCATCTTTCTTATTTTCGAACTCTACTATTATTTTCTATTATTTTCGAAATCTACGTAGTCGATTACATCAGGAGACAAATTTTCATATTGAAATATCTCTTCTAGCCATAGTTACAGCCAATCAAACAGCCGAAACGACCCTGGGGGGAAAAATAATTAGGCTCCGCCTCTTTTTCTGTGGTCGCTTGGTATACATTGCCTTTCTGAAACTTTAACGTCTTCTAACTTCTGAAAACGCAATTTTCTGAAAATTTCACGTCGTTAACTGTCTTTTTCATGCGATTTCTGTCATTTTTGATATCCATATTGCCCTAGTTTGGTGAGATTCAGAATTTTGACGACTTCTGGATTCTGAATATCAAAATTCTTCAAACTAGGGCAATATGGGTATCAAAATGACGGGGATCGCGTGGGAAAGGTTGTTAACGACGTGAAAATTTCAGAAAGTTGCATTTTCAGAATTCAGAAGACGTCAACGTTTGGGAAGATGCTCAATCTGACGTCTTCTAAATTTCCCAAAACTTGATTTTCTGGAAATTTCACGTTGTCAATTGCTTTTCTTACGTGGTTTTCGTCATTGTGGTACCCATATTGCCCTAGTTCAAAGAATTTAGAATTTGAAGTGAATTCAGAATCCTGAAGACGTCAAAATTCAAAATTCTTCAAACTAGGTCGATATGGGTATCAAAATGACGGAAATCACAAGGTAAAGAGGGTTAACGAGGGGAATGTTGCTGAAAATAGCGTTTTCAGAAATTAGAAGACGTCAAAAAATTCTAAAGGGCGATATTGACTATTTTTGGGTCAATTTCAGATGGATTTTTGATTTTTTTTTTTTCAAATCTTCGATTACTGTAGAATTACTGTACCTTACTCTATTTTCCAGGTTCCACCAACTCGATCCCATTCCGTGTGCTCCAACTCGTCAATCTGTCCCAAGAAGTGGCTCTAATCGTTCTCGACGTTGCCCAAACGTTTGCCCACCAACTCGCCGCTTCCCAACGACACCGTCATTGGCCCCATTCTGAATCCCTCTTCCACTCATTGCTCAGCCTACATCTCCGTCTGGCTGACGAGCATTGGAGTGAATCCGTTCGATTACACGTCATCGCTGGTCTGGCTCTTTTTGTGAATCTATTCAGAGCTCGGTTGTTCGAAGGTGGACCATTGGAACCGTTGTATATGCTCATTGAGAAGGTTTTGATACAGGTGAGACTCTTTAAGTCGGGTTAAAATTGACGTTTCTAGCTAAAAATTACCGAAAAAATCGTCTGGAAAGTTTTCAGCTAAGTTTCAACTCCAAAATGACCGATTTTGAATCCAAATTCTAGCTCAAAATTGCTGAAACTTGGCTGAAAACAGACACTTTTACGTCTTCTAACTTCTGAAAACGCAGCTTTCTGAATGTTTCACGTCGTTAACTGTCTTTTTCATGCGATTTCTGTCATTTTTGATATCCATATTGCCCTAGTTTGGTGAGATTCAGAATTCAGAATATTCAGAAGACGTCAAAATTCAGAATCTTGCCAAACTAGGTCGATATGGGTATCAAAATGACAGAAACCACATGGAAAAGAGAGTTAACGACGTGAAAAGTGCACAAACCTGCGTTTTCAGAAGTTAGAAGACGACAATTTTCGATTTTTGAATTCTAGCTCAATTTCTGCTGAAGATTGCCGAAAATTCTCATTTTTTCCAGATGGCCTCTCGCCTTCCAGCCGTCCAAGCCGCCGCCGCCGCACTCCTCCAACTGATTCTCAGAAACGGATACGAAGTGGCTCAAGGCTACTTTGCCAGTCAGATTCTGGCTCAGAGTGTGTCTCCATCGACAAAAATCAATAATCAGGCGAATGGAGGAAGGAAAGGAGTGTCAAGTGAACGTCTGGGAAGACCCGGCAGTCAGACGGGCGTCGCGTTGGCTAGATTATTGGGTAAGGAAGGAATAGGCTGAGCAATCGTGGAAGAATGCCTCATAATGGTCAAAAATAGCCCAAATTTGAGCTAAGATGGATCGGAAAATTACTAGTCAGATTAAAAATAGCTCTAAAAAACTCGAAAATAAACATTTTTGACTATTTTCCATCCTAAAGGCTTCAAAATGAGTCTTATTTCGATGACGCCTTCTAACTCGTGAAAACGCAATTTTTTGAATTTTTCACGTCGTTAACCTTCTTTCCCATGCGATTTCCGTCATTGTGATACCCATATTGCCCTAGTTGGGAGAGATTCTGAATTTTGACGTCTTCTGGAATTCAGAATTCACTTCAAACACGAAACTCGGTCGATATAGGTATCAAAATGTCGGAAATCGCATGAGAAAGAAAGTTAACGAATGGAAAATTTGAGAAAATCGCGTTTTCCGAATTCAGAAAGCAAATTGATAATCTACCTAAATTTTGACGTCTTCTGAATTCTGAAAACTCAACTTTTGAAAGTTTCACTTCGTTAACTTTCTTTTCCCTGTGATTTCCGTCATTTTGATACCCATATCGACCTAGTTCGGTGAGATTCTGAATTTTGACGTCTTCTGGATTCAGAATCCCCTCCAAATTCAAAATCCTTCAAACTAGGTCGATATGGATATCAAAATGACGGTAATCACACAGGAAAGAGGGTTAACAAAGTGAAAATTTCAGAAACTTGCGTTTTTCAGAATTTAGAAGACGTCAACGCTATTTTTCCCCTATTTTCCAGGCTTCCAATCAGTGCTCTCCAACTCGGCGGCCTTCGAACGCGGCCTATCGGCGGTTGAAGCCCTTGTGGACCAACGAAAAGCGACGTCATTCGACCTGGCAGTTCTGGATCTTCTCCGACAGCTACGCGGTGTGATGACGGCTACAGTAGCGCTGAAAGACGCGGCGAATGATCCGATTCGATTGGCAGATCTACATTTACAACTGGCTGATAGTTATCGAGGATCCGCTGCGTTGAGAAGCGCCTGGTTTGATACCCTAGCCGAGTTGTATGAACAGGATCGATGGTTTGCCGAGGCAGCTGTTTGCCATGCACATTCAGTGGCGATTATTGCAAGGGAGTTGGAGGAGAGAAGTCAGTTCAAAAACGTTGGCTGAAAATGGTCGAAATCGCCCTTAAAAAAACTTTAACGTCTTCTGAATTCTGAAAACGCATATTTCGGAAATTTTCACATCGTTAATCTTTTTTTCCATGCGATTTCCGTCATTTTGATACCCATATTGCCCTAGTTTGGTGAGATTTGGGATTTTGACGTCTTCTGGATTCAGAATATCGAAATTCTTCAAACTAGGACGATATGGGTATCAAAATGACGGAAATCGCATGGAAAAGAAAACTGACGAAATGAAAATTACAGTACACTGCGTTTTCTGAATTCAGAAGACAAAATGTTTTGACGTCTTCTAAATTCACAAAACACAATTTTCATCGATTTCCACGTCGTCAACTTTCCTTCTCATGTGATTTGCAATATTTTGATACTCATAACGACCTAGTTTGTAGAATTTGGAATTTGAAGTGAATTCAGAATCCAGAAGACGTCAAAACTCAGAATCTCATTAAACTAGGGCAATATGGGTATCAAAATGACGGAAATCGCATGCTAAAGATGGTTGACTTCGTAAACATTTGAGAAAATGCGATTTTAGAATTTTTTTTTCGATTTTTCAAATTCAGAAGTATCTTTAAATATGTCAATCACCCAGGAGCGCTTGAAAATCGTCGAAATTGCTTTCAGAAGATCTAGAAGTCGACTGGAGGGTTTTCGAATGGATCAACAATCAGATTTCTGAGACAGAACAGAGTCAGGGTGGAGACGCTGGCAACGTACAGCCCGCCGGATTCACCACAGAGAATCTGGGAGCGAAAATTGATAAGACGGCGGCCGCGTTGTTGTTAGCGGAGAGATTTGAAGCAGTGGGGCCGTTGTACAGGCTGATTGTCCCAGTTTTGGAGAGGAATATGAATTTTACGGTAGGTGGGGTGGAGGAGATGACTGGAGATCTTCTAGGTCACACTCCTGGAACTCGAGACGGTTTGACCAGACTCAGCGACCTCTAGGGCCGCTAGGTCTTGCTCAAAAAGCCACGCCCTTGTCTATGAAAGCCTTGATCGGTGGTAGGTGGTCTACGTCCCACCCTCTAACCTCTATCATAGATCGTGCTCTGGGGATTCATCTAACTAGGGAAGGCTGTAACTAGGGTGTGGTGGATGGGTATCGCTGGAGAGTAGGGTCCCTGAAAGACCGTCCATCAAACGAAACGTCTTCTGATTCAGAGTCTCGTGAGCGTCTACGCCGAACTACAACAGACCTACAGTAGGGCGGCGGAAGTGAGGAGCAGTGGGAAGCGACACTTGGGAACGTATTTCAGAGTCCGATTCTATGGAGAAAATCATTTTAAGTGAGTTTTTGGGCGGAGCCGTAGCAATTACCTTCAAATGCAATATTTTCGAACCAACTGAATCAGATACTGTAGAACTCGACAAGCCCTACAAAATGATAGTATTCGGATTACTGTAGCTGGTCTATGACTTACGTTACAACCCAAAAAGCTGTGACCGCGTAGTTGGGATGGTGATTATTGGCTTGTAACTTTGTTCATATACCAGCTACAGTAATCCAAATAGCGTCATTCTGTAGGGCTCATTGAGTTCTTCTATCATATCCAATTTAGTCGGTCTCAAAATATTGATCCTAAAGGAAACGATGGTAAGGGGCCCGTTGGAGCCTGCTTTGGGCGCATTTTTAAGGCTAAAAATGTCGCCGAAGCTGTTTGAATTTGGCTGAAACTATATAAAAATTTCTGAATTCTGGCTTATTTTGAACCGCAAAGACCGCTTCAAATGCCATGTTCCAGACAAGAACACAACACTGACTGGATCTACCGGGAGATGGGACTCACTTCCCTGGCTGCATTCGCATTAGAAGTCAAGGAGAAGTGTCAGAGGCAAGTGGGACACGATCGAGTACAAATCGAGGCCAATGAGCATCTGGATATGGCCAAAATCGATCCAACAGTGGCATATGTACAGATAACACATGTCGAACCGTCGGTTTCAGCAGGTAATTGGGGTGGTGAAATAGAGCTGAAATTGGCCAAAATAGCTCAAATTTGATCTAGAATTACCGAGAAATCTGCTCAAAACGTTCTAATCAAACAAACCAAGACTATTTATTAAGACTATTTGAAAAGGACAAAAACCATTTGGAATTGACTAAAAAATGGCTTAAAATATACCCCCCAACCTATCTGAAATAGCCCAAATTAAGTCTAGGATGGCTTAGAATCGAAATGGGACCCAAAAAAGGTGGTTTAACACGTTCTGAAGTTGTCTGGAACGGATTCCAGACGATTTTGGCCAAAAACGACCTAAAGTTGGCTCATATACGATGTAATTCGTCTGAAATTGACGATTGCTCAGATTTCAGCTAGAATTTCAGCTAGAATAACCCATAAATCCGTTTTAATTTTTCTGAAATTGTCTTAAAACGATTCTAGACGATCTTTGGCTGCGCACAGATTCAAAATTCAAGATTCGGAATTTCGACGTCTTCTGAATTCTGAATTCACTGCAAATTCAAATCCGCTCAAACTAGGTCGATATGGGTATCAAAATGTCGGAAATCACATGGGAAACAGAGTGAACGATGTGAAAAGTTCAGGAAAATTACGTTTTTAGAATTCAGAAAATGCTAAATTGGGAATTTTCCTAAACTTTGACGTCTTCTGAACCCTGAAAACGCTTTTTTTCTAAAATTTTCCCGTCGTTAACTTTCTTTCCTGTGCGATTTCCGACATTTTGATACCCATATTGCCCTAGTTTGAAGATAATTGAATTCTGAATTCAGAAGACGTTGAAATTATAGCCAACATTTGAGCTAGAACCCAAACATCCGTTTTGAACGCTCCAAAATTGTCTCAAACCATCTAAAACGATTTTAAGAGCAAATATGAGCCCCAACAAAACTTCCAATCACTAATATTGACCTTGCAGACTCCGCCTCCTCTTCGCCCCGCCCACCTACCGTATCCAATGACTTCGTTCTACACACGAACCTCTCCGAATTCTCGTACGAATGTGCAATGGTTGAAAACGAGCGAAAAGTATCGAAAGAGCCAGCAATCCATGAGCAAATCCTCAAAAGGACCGTCATTCGAGTGTCTTTGGGGGGATTCCCATCGACACGACGACGTCTTCCAGTCATTTCTGTCAATTATGAGCAATTCTCCCCACTGGAATTCGCGTGCCAGAAATTAAATACCAAGGCAGAGCAGATTCGGAAGACGTTGAGTGCTGCGTCGAATGGACGGAGACTAGATGTCAAAGGGTTGCAGTTGTTGTTACAGGTAAGAACTTTGACGTCATCTAAGTTCTGAAAACGCAATTTTCGGAATTTTTCATGTCGTCAACCGCCTTTCTCGTGTGATTTCCGTCTTTTTGATACCCATATTGCCCTAGTTTGAAGCATTTCGATATTCTGAATCCAGAAGACGTCAAAATTCCGGATATCACCAAACTAGGTCGATATGGGTATCAAAATGTCGGAAATCACATGGGATAGAAAGCTAACGATGCGAAAATTTCTAAAATTTGCGTTTTCAAAATTCAGAAGATCAGAAAAAATTTTCGAATTTCAACGTTTCCTAAATTCTGAAAAAGCAATTCTCCGTAATTTTCATGTCGTCAACCGTGTTTCTCGTGGGATTTCCGTCATTTTGATACCTATGTCGATCTAGTTTGATGAGATTCTGAATTCTGAATCCAGAAGACGTCAAAATTCCGAATATCACCAAACTAGGTTGATATGGGTATCAAAATGACGGGAATCGCACGAGAATTAAGTTTCACAATGTGAAAACTTTAGAAAAATGCGTTTTAAAAATTTAGAATACGTTAAAGTTTCCATTTTCCAGGGCGCCGTTCTGCCTACCGTAAACGCCGGACCCCTAGCCTACGCGGAAGTGTTCACGAAGGATGAGCAACGAGAGAAGTATGGCGACGAGGCGATCGTCAAATTGAGAGAGTCGTTCAGGTACAGTAGCCAGGGATTACGGTAGTTTTGAAGAAAAATTGAAAATGTTTTCAAAAAAGCTGAAATTGTTATGCTACCGTAATCCAGTATTGTATAGATTACTGTATTTTTCCAGAAATCTAATGTCGGCGTGTCAATTGGCCATCGAAGCGAATGCGTCAGCGATCGGTTCTGATCAACAGACGTATCATGAAGTGTTGGTGTCATCGTTCGACGCGATGCACGAACGTCTTCAGACATTCTTTGGAGCATCTGTGAGTTTTTTTTTAAATCTGAATTTTTCTAAAAATTTGACGTCTTCTAAAATCTGAAAACTCGATTTTCTGAATTTTTCGCGTGGTCAATCTTTTTTCCCATGTGATTTCCGTCATTTTGATACCCATATCGACCTAGTTTGGTGAGATTCAGAATTTTGACGTCTTCTGAATTCAGAATTCAGAATCTAACAAAACTAGGGCAATATGGGTATCAAATTGTCGGAAATCGCACGGAAAAAACAGTTAACGACGTGAAAATTTCAGAAAATCGCGTTTTCAGAATTCAGAAGACGTCAAAAAAGTCAGTCTATATTTTTCGAAAGTTTCAATTTTTCAGCTTCGCGGCAATCTGGAACCCGATCCATCGCAACTTCCACGCTCCGCAATGCACATACTGGATATGATGGGCGGAGTCAGAAATTAAGCCACGCCCCCTTTGATATAATGTATATTTCGCCTTCTATTTTTTGCTTAAAATTAAGATTTTTTTTTCAAAATTTTGAATTTCCCGCCATTTCATTTTCTTGCTCTTTTCGACATTCCAAACTGCTTAAAATATGTGTTTTATGGGTTCCATTTTTTGGCATTTTTTCCTTAAATGAAGATTTCAGCTAATTTCTTCAGTTTCTTTTTTGTAGTCTTTGTAGTCTTTGTAGTCTTAAAATTCGCTGAAAACTCTGAAAAAAATCGTTCGTTAAGAACTACTATTTTTTGCAAAAAAAATTGTTATTTCGAAGAAAAAAAATTGTTGGGGTACTGTAGAAAAAGGGGGCGGGACTTAGATTGGGAGAAATTATTTTGTTGGAAATAAGAGAGAGAGAGAGAGGACAGAGAAAAGCTCAAAAAGAGAAAAAAGTGGGGGGCGGAGTCAGAAATAGGGGGTACAAACTACAAAAAGCTAGTTGGACCGAAAAGGGAGAATTTGGGAAAAAAAATGTTTTGGAGGGAAATTCAAATTTTTGAAAAATTAAAAAAAAATTTTTTTAAAATTTTTTAAAAATTTTCAAAAAAAAAAGCAAAAAAGCGTATAGAGAAATTTTCAGGTGATGGTGGGATTACGGTAGGTACACCGGTACAGTATGAAAACAAAAATATGGAGGGGAAAAAAAAGAGAAAAAACATTGTGGGCGGGGCTTAGCAATAGCTTTTGATTCGTTGGATTTTTTTTTGGTTGAAAAAGGGGAGAAAGTGGGCGGGGCTTATTTTTTCAGGGATTACTGTAGTTTCATTGTACTGAGCAACATCCACACTTCTTCTTCTTCACGTGTATTAATTCGACTTTTCCCGCTGGTGGCAGCTCATTGACATATTCTTCCGAGCTGCGAAAATTGGAATTTTGTAGTTTTTGTAGTTTTAAAAATCTTGTTTAAAAAAATTAATACAAAATTGTAGTTTGTAGTTTTTGTAGTCTTTGCAGCTGATTTTGCGTTTTTGGGGCTCAAAATCCCTCATTTCCGGCCCGATTTTTTTTGCAATTTTTTTTCAGAAAATTCTAGAACTTTCTGTCTGAAATTCAAGGAAATCTTACCGATGATGCTCGGCGAGCAGTGGCTCCGAATGATGTGCATCATTGTTTTTCTCATTTTGCACCAATTGCTCTTTGCTCAGTCCGTTTTGAAGGTACAGCGGAGACTCGTTGGTGGTTGGTGGTGGTGTGGCACTGGAAAATTTTAGTTTGTAGTCTGTAGTTTTTGTCAAAAACAGTCAAAAATTCGCTTGAAAATTCAATCAAAAAAAATTACGTCTTCTAACTTTTGAGAACGCAATTTTCTGAGATTTTCACATCGTCAACTATTTTTTCCATGCAATTTCCGTCATTTTGATACCCATATCGACCTAGAAAATTTTGACATTCAGAATCCAGAAGACGTCAAAATTCAGAATCTCACCAAACTAGGGCAATATGGTAATCAAAATGTCGGAAATCACATGAAAAATAAGATTAACGACGTGAAAATTTCAGAAGTCGCGTTTTTGAAATTTAGAAGACGTCTTATTGAGATTATCCTTAAACTTTGACGTCTTCTGAATTCTGAGAACGCAGTATACTGTAATTTTCACATCGTTAACATTTTTTTCCATGCGAATTCTGTCATTTTGATACCCATATCGACTTACTTTGAAGAATTTTGAGTTCTGAATTCAGAAGACTTCAAAATTCAGAATCTCCCTAAACTAGGTCGATATGGGTATCAAAATGTCGGAAATCGCACGAGAAGGAGGTTTAACGTCGTGAAAATTTCAGAAAATCGTGTTTTTGGAATTTAGAAGACGTTGAAGTTTAGCCTTCTTGTTCAAAAATTTTTTTCGAGTTTTCAAATCTTCAAATTTTCAAAAAAAAACTAACGCCTGAGTGAAATGTTGCTGTTTCGTTGGTGTATTCTGGGCGGAGCCAGGACGACTGGGTGGAAATGGTTTATGGAGATATTGCTCAACAATCGGGTCCACCTCATGATACAGTATCTCCTCTGGCCGGAACGGATTTTCAGCGTCCGTCATTTTTCTGAAAAAAAAATGATCGAAATTTTAAGATTGATTTTTTAAAAATAGTCCTAAAACCAATCAACTACTTTAATTTTTTTTTCTAAAAAAAATTTTTTTTTTTTTCGAAATTTTCAATTTTTCAACACAGGTGATATAATAGGCCACGCCCACTTTTTTGGAACGACACACAGAAAGAAAAGCCACGTGGATTTGTGAACAAAAAGCACTAATAAATATCTAGAGAACAAACCGGAAATGAAGATCCATTGGTCTGAAATTCTTGATTTAAAAATGTGTTGTTTTTTTCAAAAATGAGAACTACAGTAATCCTTTAATGTTTCGACAAAACTTTTGAACATCTAGATTTCTGAACTCAGCTCATTGAGAGCTCCAAAATGAGCCCAAACACGATGCATTTCGGACAAATTTGAAACATTTCGAAAATTTTTAGGTCCTATGCGTCTTTAAAGTGGGAATTTCAGATTGTTTCAAAGTATGGCATGATTATACTCATTTTGATTGGCTCGATGAGCTGAGTTTGAAAATTAGAAAAAATTTTGAGTTTAGGCTGAAATTGATCAGGCTACGGTAGTTTGAAATTTGGAAATTTTTGATAGAAACATTTTTTTTTTCGAAAAAAAAATTTTTTTTTCAAAATTCAAACTAAAAAAAACCTCACTTTGATGGAAGTGGCGGTGAGACGGCGACTCGTCGAACTTCTTCAAATTGTGCTGGCGGTGGAATTGGGGATGGTGCTTCTGGAATCACTGTCTCCGAAGTGACCACTACTCGAGACACGGGGGCGTCGGCACTGAAAATAGAAAATTAGGAGTTAAAAAATTGAAAAATTTTAAATTTCAGAGATTTTTCAGTTTTTAGTTGGTTGAGGTAACGGTTGGAAATGACCTGAATTAGGGGGAAAATGTATATTTCCCAACTTTTTGCCAAAACTCCAGAATTTTCGAATTTCAAGGAATTAATGTACAAATTGAAATGAAATAAGCAGAGAAAAAGATAAAAATGAAAGTATGATAGATGGTTTTAGAAAGAAATTTGGTAATTATGAGGGTAATTAAAATTCTGCCCCTTTTCTATTCTAAATGGACCAGGAACATTTAAGGTATGTTTTGAGCTCAATTATCTCGGCTCATATAAAAGATATCAAAAAGCTGTCAACTAGTAAAATGTAGGAAATTCAATTTTACACATTTTCCTAGTTGACCACTTTTTGATAGCTTTTTTCGTAATTGAGATTCGGGCAGCTTAAAGATCCAGTGCTTTTGTGACGCCCCAAGGAACGTCTCCAGAAGACTTCAAACTCGGAATTTCGAAAAACCAAAAGTTCGGGCATCAAATAAAGCACAATTCTGACCTATCTGTCCATGTTTCAGCTTGCTCGGTTAACTTTGAGTGGGTGAAAAGGCGCGCGACAGACATACAAAGTTTGGTGAATGTTACCTTGAAGAGTGACTTGAGGACTGGATTATCACTGTTTCTGGGAAAGATATCAAAAGGTGGTCAACTGATAAAATGTGGGAAATTCAATTTTACACATTTTTTTCTAGTTGACCACTTTTTGATATTTCTTACAGTAACCGAGATAAATGGGCTAAAACCTAGGATGTTTGTTCTCTCTATGTTGTCCATCTCTGGTTCTTTATGACTTCCGATCCAAAGATGGGGAAAATAGATAATTGTCGCAGATGACAGGGGGGAGGGACCCTTTTATGAAAAGAGCAGGTGTTGGTTATGTTGTGCTCTTTGCTCCATCCATTATGTGCTTCTCAACACACATGAATGATCACTTTAGGAAGAGGAGAACCGTTGGAAAATGGGACATGTTTGATTGATTTTGAAGGGGTATACAAGCAAAAAGAAACCACTGAAAAACGGCTTAAAATATCTCAAGAATATCTCAAAACTAGCTAACAAATCGTCCAAAAACGGCTCAAAAATCTGATCTCGTAAAATAGTTGATAAATAGATTGAAAAGGACCAAAACCGAGTTTCAAATAAAAACTTCAAACTAGCCTAAAGTAGCCCGAGAATGGCTGAAAAAAAAGCACATTTTTTATTGCTCATTTTTATTGCTCATTTTAGGCACATTTTTATAGTTTTGAAATGGCTCAGAATTGCCCTAAAATAGAAAAAAAATAACGGGAAAGTTTTTTTGGGTCATTTTCCACTGATTCCGGTTGTGGTCACAGCTGTCCCCCACTAGTTGTACATACATACACTTTTAGATAGAGATAGACATCGATGTGCACTATTAATTAGATTACTTGGACCAGGGACCCAGAAAAGCCTCAAAATGGGCGACAATATAAAATGGATGAAAAGAAGAAGAAGAAGAAGAAGAAGAAGACCACTAAATTTCCAAGAAGCGCCATTCTTTTTGGGGGGAGAAAATTCCCCCAAAAAGAGGATGGAAGACGAAGACTTAGTCGGCCGTCTTCTCATTCTGGGATTAGTTTGAACGACTTCATCTTCTTTTTGGGAGGGAATCTACTCGAGAAGTTTTAGTTAGAAAAGAGGGAAGAGAGAGAGAGAGAGAGAGAGAGAGAGAGAGAGAGAGAGAGAGAGAGAGAAATGAAGAAACGCCGTACAATTAAAGTAGTTCCCCGAAGAATGAAAGAAAAAAACCCCTGAAATCCAAAAATCAAAAATTCCCCAAAAAATCCTAAAACTCCGAAAATTCCAAAAATCCGAAAAAAGTCTGAAAATTTAGGATTCTTGGATAGTTCACAACAATTCCAGAGCAAATTTTAATGATTTTTAGAAATTTTCAATTGCAAAAAAGGCTGTGAAAATATCATTTTTGACCATTTTCAGAATCAAAAACTGCTTAAAAATGTGAAAAAGCTATTAGAATAACATTTTAAGGTGATTCAGGACCGTTTCTAGATTGGTTTTAAACTATTTTCAAAGCCAAAAATCTGCTTGAAACTGTAACAAAGTCATTTGGGACCATTTCAAAACTTCTAGAAAAAAACAACTGCTTCAAAAGTGCAACAAACAACTTAAGTTGTCCCAGGGACACAAAAAACCGAATGTGCTTCTTCTTTTCTCGAAATGCTCCGGGAGCTCCCGGGGCTCCGGGAGCTGCGGAGAGAGCACCCATACACACAACAAAATGAGGTCCGAATGGAGCACAGAGATAGAGAGAGAGAGAGAGAGAGAGAGAGACGCAGAGATACAGAGAGAAAGGGTCCCTCTCTGTGGGGTGGGGACGAATGCAATTAGAATGCATATGCCCTCCTCTCTCCCCATTGGAACCACTAGATGGGTGAGAGAGTGTGTGAAGGGAGGAGAGTGGTTAGAGAAAACAGAGAAAAAGAATGTCACAAAGTGGGTTGGGTCCCCGGAATGTGTCTCTCTCTCTTCCGGAAAAGGAGAGACACCATGGGGATGGGTTGGGTTAGAGTGGTATAGTTTTCAGCTTGAGGGGAGGACATCCGGATGCACAGATACACGGAAAAAGGGGGGGGGGGAATTACCGTAAACACTCTATTAGAAGCCCACCCAAAGCGCTAACTTTGAGCTCGATTATCTCGGCTCCTTTAAAAGATATGAAAAAGTTGTCAACTGATAAATTGTTTATCACAATATCACAAATATTTCATCAGTTGACAACATTTTGATATCTTCTACAGTAACCAAGATATATCGATTCAAAGTTAGAAAAAAAAGGAAATACGGTAACTGAATTGAGAGGGGTGTACAAATTGGGGGGAATTTGGTTTGCAAAAATCTTTAAAAAGTTCAAAAACTTACCATTTCTCTTCTTTTTCAGTCATTTTTCCAAAAATTCTAGAATTTCTAGAACTTTCTTCTTCAAAAAATGATAAAGTTCCAAAAGTTGAAGAAGAAGAAGAACTAACAAAAAAAGAGGTCACAAGACTTTCAATTTTTCTCAAAATTTGATACTGTCTGGGACAAAAAAAAGAGACATCAACGTTCTAACAAAACCTGTCACATTCAATATTGATCAAAAATGTTTTCCGCCGAAAAAAAAAACCAAAAAAATTCCAAATAAACCTTTTTTCTGTTCAAATTGAAGTGAGAGAGAGAGAGAGAGAGACGCAGAGAAAATGAGAGAATTTGACAATTCAATTGTGTCCCTCTTTTTTGTTTACCCAAAACCCGAACCACCACCCAAAAAAAAAGGCAATTTTTGGGATGTGTTTTCTGGAAAGACTACAAACTACAATACAACCTCTCGATTTTTCTGAAAATTTCAGAATATACTAAACAAGACATGAGCTTCATTTTTGTAGTTGATACTTTTCTCTGAAAACCATGTCCTGGGGAGTTATACTAGCTTTCCCAAAATGAGTGAAAAACTATCAATTTTGGTTAAAAATGGCATTTTTTGAATGCCAGGAATTCCAGCTAAAAATTTATCGATTTCTTTGAAAATTTCAGAGTATACTAAATTAGATTAAAGCTTTATTTTTGTAGTTAACACTTTTCTCTGAAAATCATGTCCTGGGGAGATATGCTAATTTTTCCAAAATGAGTCAAAAATTTTAAATTTTGCTCGAAAATATAGTATTGTCTGTCTGAAAAGCAAATTCACACTTTTTCGATTTGTAAAAAAATGTCAGATTTGTAGTTGACAACTTTTTCTGAAAATTTAGTCCAAGGGAGATAGGACACGTGGAAAGGACCTATGCGCGCCACCACCTCTTCCCTGATAGGTAGGCGCCACCAGTGCGGGAGAGAGGTAGGCTTCCACGTGCTATATCTTCCCAGGACTTGATTTTCAGAAAAAAGTGTCAACTACAAAAGTGAAGCCCATGTTTTGTTTAGTATATGCTGAAATTTTTTACAAAATCGGAAAAGTTTGAGTTAAATTTTCAGACAGGCGAAAATTGCCTACTTTTTGACCAAATTTGCAAAATTTTGACGCATTTTGAGAAATTTGGCCTATCTCCTCAGGACTTGATTTTCAGAAGAAAGTGTCAACTACAAAAATAAAGCTCTATTCTTGTTTAGTGTATTCTGAAATTTTCAGACTAATCGAAAAAGTTTGAACTAGGATTTTCAGCTCCTCCATTATCGCTCTTGCAAAATTCCAACCAAAAAAAGGGAAATCGGCAACAATTTTGACAGATTTGAAAAGATTAAAAAAGAGAGAAAGATTTCAAATCAAAAAAAAAAAGAGAGAGAGAGAGAGAAAAAGGGGGGCGCGGGGAAGAGGATTTCTATTGTCTATTCAAAATATTAGGTTGGCGGGAAAGTCTTTGTCACTCTGTTTGTTTAATCACTGTTCTCGTATATGGAGGCTGTGTATGATATCGACTCTAGTGAATAACAAGGTGATAAGAACCTTCCATATAAACAAGTCCCCATTTCCTTCCCTGCTCCTCATCTGTAATTGAAACGATATGTTTGTTCCCACTGTTATTCACATCAGACATGTTTTGATTTACCTCTTCCTATCTCACACCACGATGAAGGATTCGGAAACTTTCTTGAAGAATGTGTACAACACACATGCCCCTCACTACAATACTATTCGCAATTGGTTCCATCGTTTCGAAAAAGATGACTTCTCGCTCGATGAAAAGGATCGCTCTGGGAGACCCCGTGAGTTGGATTTGGACAAGCTGAAGCACGCATTGCAATCGGATCCATTTCAATCTAGCCGTGAACTAGCTGTCACATTCGGAGTTCACCATAGCACAGTCCTTGAAGGTTTGAAGTCTCTTGGAATGAGAAAACTTTTTGGTCGATTCATACCTCATCACCTGACTCAAGCCAACCTTGACCGCCGAGTCGACGATTCGATTACTCTTCTCACTCTCCACGCGGGCGATCGATGGCTGGACCGGCTAATAACCGGAGATGAGAAGTGGGTCTTCTACGATAATCACCACAGGAAATCCCAGTGGGTTGGAGAAGGAGAGAGCCCACAGGATGTCCCCAAACCCGGCCTTCATCCGAAAAAACGTTATGCTCTCTGTGTGGTGGGGAGTGGACGGCCCCATCTACTGGAACTTCTGCCCGAGGGCAAAACAATAACTGGAGACCTCTACACTACTCAACTACGAAACCTCAAGAAAGCAGTCGACCGTTCGGCCCTGAAAGACAAGAAAGTGTACTATCAACATGATAACGCTCGCCCACATGTTTCGAAACAAGTGAAGCAGGAGCTGATGGGATATGGATGGAATGTTCTCCCTCACCCCCCGTATTCTCCTGATCTTGCTCCTTCCGACTATTGGTTATTTGGCGATATGACACGTGCCTTCGAAGGAAGAAGCTTCAATTCCCGTGGAGCGGTCGAAGCGGCACTCAAACAATACTTTGCCTCACGCCCGGCTGGATTCTACCGCAATGGAATCCATAAATTGAGGGAACGTTGGAGACATGTTGTTGATAATGATGGACAATATAATTAATTATTCGGTTATTTTTTCTTTGAGAAATAAACTATTGAAAAAGTGACAAAGACTTTCCCGCCAACCTAATAATCGCGCGAGTGCACAGGTGATTCGCGAACAATCCGTTACGGACGCTCANCGTTCGCGCGCGGNTGTTATTTGAACCGCATACGGGCCGCACGCGACGCCGTTTTCAGAAAACCACAGCGCATTATTCCGTATTCCTCCGTATTCTGCCCGTTCGCGAACTCCGTATCCGATCCGCTTGCGAATGATGGGCAAACGGATCCGTTCGCGAATCAGACAAAAGTTTAAGTCCGTACGCGGTTCCTATTTCAACCGCGCGCGAACGCTGAGCGTCCGTAACGGATCCGTTCGCATTTTACCTGTGTGAACGAGTAAAAATGTCTGCGTCTCTACAGCGCCTCTATAGGTTTGGAGACCTTCTACACGTTTTTTTACTCGTTCACCCGCGCGATTATTTTGAATAGACAATATTTACTTTTCTCTTTTTTTTCATTATTTATAAAATAAAAATGATGAAGTGGGGAGAGGGGAAACATTAAACAAACATTTATAAATGCTCCACAGAAAAAAAAAAAGAAATTCCAAATATTTGGATTTTCGAGGGAAAAAATGAGCAAAAATGAGCCAAAAACCCTCTGACATATATGTTAAAAATATCGAATTTTTAAGTGAAAAATGACCCAAAATGATTGAAAAGTCTGAAAATTTAAGCGAATTTCAGATATTCAAAGTTTTCAGTATATTTGAGAGCTGAAAATGACCAAAAAAATCGGTTTGAGAAACTTAAAATTCCAGAAAAATTTCTAGAATTTCAAATTTGCGAATTTTGCGAATTTTCAGCATTTTTCAAATCTGAAAATTTCCAGAAACCTTCCCCTAAACTTCAAATTTCTCGGGGGAAAATTGCGAAAAGAAAGAAGAAGTACAACCTAACGAAAAGTTAAACTCGATACCTTTCCCCTCGCCTGCTCCTTGACACCTGTTTTCTCTAACCACTCTCTCATTTTTCAGTACTATTTCTCTCTTTTCTAAATGATCAGAAAAGAGAATTTACAATGAATTTCACTACTCGTGTTCATTTCATTCGCAAAAGATGAATTGCGGCGGGAAATATAAGTAGGAAATGATGTAAAAAGTTTGAGGACATCTGGATGCACAGGTGGACAGATACAGTTTAAAATTTTTGGTCAAAAATGATGTATTTTTCACCTGTCTGAAAATTAATCTCAAACTTTTCCGATTTTTCTGAAATTTTTTTTTTTCTGAAAACGCGCGTCGGTCTTTCCACGTGGCATATCTCCCCAGGACTTGATTTTCAGAAAAAAGTGTAAACTACAAAAGTGAAGCCCATGTTTTGCTTAGTATAATCTGAAAATTTCAGGCAAATCGAAAAAGTTTGAGTCAGATTTTCAGACAGGCGAAAATTGCCTAATTTTTGACCAAATTTGCAAAATTTTGACGCATTTTGGGAAATTTGGCCTTTCTCCCCAGGACTTGATTTTCCAAGAAAGTTGTCAACTACAAAAATGAAGCTCATGTTTTGCTAAGTATATTCTGAAATGACACGTGAAAGTCCCCAAAAAGCGCCACCACCCTTGGGCTGGGGCAGCCGAGGGCTCGGGGTGGTGGAGGTGGTGGCGCGCGTCGGTCTTTCCACGTGGCATATCTCCCCAGGACTTGATTTTCAGAAAAAAGTGTAAACTACAAAAGTGAAGCCCATGTTTTGCTTAGTATAATCTGAAAATTTCAGGCAAATCGAAAAAGTTTGAGTCAGATTTTCAGATTCTCATTTTCATTGCAAAATTATCAGATTTTCAAATTTTTTGGGGGTTTTTCTTGTTGTCTCTTAAGCGAAGAGCCTTGTTTGTCGCGTATCCAAAAAAAATTCCCACGAGGAAACCGAACTTTGACGTCTTCTGATTCTTCCTCTTCTTTTTCTTTTGAAACAACGTCTTCAGACACTTCTCAATAGACACTAAAATGCCGTCTTCTCTGTGTTGTTGTTGGCCCATTTTTCGAGAGAAAAAAAAGCATGAAACATGGGCGGCTCAGAGAAAAAAAACCAAGAAAAACACACACATTTTTGACTTGTTTTCTTTTTTCTTGTCAACTTTTTTTGTGTTAAACGGATCCCAGAGATTTTCTGGGAGTGAAAACAAGTGTGTCTGTTTTTTTTGGGATTCTTTTTAAGAACTTTGGAACTTTTCAACCAAAAAAAACAGATCATAAGAGAAGAGATGTTCGAAAAATTTAAAAATTTGATTCTTAGACTCTTTTCATTGATTTTTTCATCAAAAAATTATCCTCAAAATGACAAAATAGACAACAAAAAATACCCAAAAACACATTTCGAATAATCATAACTCGTCTCAAAATTGGAATTTCGATTTGAATTAAAAAAGAAAATGTAGGTCTTGAGAAAGTTTACAAAATGATATAAAAATTGACTATATTTGAACTTTCCAGTTTCGAGCTAGAAGCCGTAAAAACAATGGATCGTCGGAACAGTAGTAGCGTCGGTTACACTTTTCAACGGAGCATAACTCGGCTCAAAATTGGACTTTCAGATCGAATAAAAAAAAGAAATATGTAGAATTTTGGAAAAGATCTACAAAGTTATATAAAATTTGACTATTTTCAATGACTGAATTTCTCACCAAACGGGCACGTTTTCCCCATCCGTTTGTTTTAGGACTTCAAACTCAAAATTAGCCATTGAAATATAGTGAAATTATGTATTATTTTGTAGATCTTGTCAAGTTCTACATTTTAATTTTTGTTTCAAACAGAAATTCCAAGTTTGAGCCAAGTTATGCCTTGTAAAAAGTAGAAATAAATCTAGGCTAATGTATAGGTAAGACATCCTAGGACACAAACTATTTAAAGAGGCATAACTCGGCTCAAAATGGGAATTTCAGTCAGAATCAAACTGCATAATGTAGAACTTGAAAAGATCTACAAAAATATATAAATTTTGGCTATAAAGTGTGGTTGGGAAGGTCCAGACCGCGGCCCGACCGTGGTCTATTCGAAAAATTTCAATCCTGGTCTTGTTTAGGCTCATTTTGAAGCTCTCAATCAGCTGAATCTTAAAAATTCAATTATTGGAAAACTAGATTAAATTTTCAAAAGTCATGATGGTATTTTCAAAATCTTTCCTATTGATTTTTGCTTTGCTTTTTTTTCAACCAGTGGGTTTACGCCCCTTTTGGGCTAAACCTCTTGGCGCCCAAACCAAGGAACGTCTCCAGAAGGCTTCAGAACCAAAATTTCGAAAAACCAAAAGTTCGGGCATCAATTAAGACACAATTCTGACCTATCTGTCCATGTTTCAGCTTAATCGGTTAACTTTGAGTGGGTGAAAAGGCGCGCGACAGACATACAAAGTTTGGTGACTGTTACCTTGAAGAGTGACTAGATTATCACCGTTTCTGGGAAAGATATCAAAAAGTGGTCAACTGATAAAATGTAGGAAATTCAATTTTACACATTTTACTAGTTGACCACTTTTTGATATTTCTTACAGTAACCGAGATAAATGGGCTACATATATACGCACATACAGAATCTGGTGAATGTTATTAGTAATGATTTTCAAATTTCAACACACAAAAAAAAACTCACTTTGTCATTTTGTGTCAGTCAGAGAGTAAAGTGAATGCAAAGAGAATGAGAGGCTTCTCTCTTGGATTTTCGAAAAGAGATAAAGAGAAAGAGAGTGAGACTGAGGAAGATCTGTGTTGAGTTAGAAATGAGAAGAAAGAGCAAAAAGTGAGTTCTTTTTCTCTGCGTCTCCACACTCTCTTACTGTCTTAGGGGTCTGAGGGTGGAGTTGATAAGAAAAAGAAGAGTCAGTTCGACAGAAAAAAAACTGACACACAATGACTCAAAAACATGATGAGAGCACAGAAAAAATATGAAATATTGGCTCAGGAAACAGCTGATTTCTTCTTTTTTTGCTCTTTTTTTCGTTAAATTCCGAGGATTTCAGATCTTTCTAAGAATTGGATAGTAGTTTAGCTAGCTATCATTTCAAGAAAATTTTTTGAAAATTTTTTTTTCCAATTTTCGATTATTCGAATAAAAAGTTTCATAGTATTATTTTTCTTGCTATTTCAGGTCGTGATATCAATTTTTATCAGAAATGGACAATTTTGAAATTTTTACAAAATTTAAAAAAATTTCAATTTTTCAAACTTTTCGAATTACCGCCAAAATGAAACTAACTCAGTGAATGGTTGTCTTGGCATCAGCGGAGTCGCATCATCCTCCTTTTCGTAGACAAATGTGTGGTCGTCGCCGAAGGAGACTCTGAAAATTCGGAAAAAATAAATAAATTGAAAAGTTTGATGCGCAGGTTTACAAGTAATCCTCCCCGCTCCTTAAACTGTTAAACCCTTCTTATCGGCTTTACATGTTTTATAGTTAGATGTACAGGGTACTCAGAAAAGCTACAGTAATTTCTAATTATTGGGATTTTTCAGAATTTCAGGAGTTTCTGAGATTTTTGGAATCCTGGGTTCTTTTCGGGACCTCCAGACTGAGATTTTTCGAATTTTTCGAATTTTCGAAATTTTCGATATTTGGACTTTTTTGGAATATTTCCAATTTTGGAGAATTTGGATTTTTCGAATTTTCGAATTATTGAATTTTTGGGATTCATGGAACGTTTTAGGACTTTTGGAATTTCTCGAATTTTGAATTTTGACAAGTTTACCAACTTTCGAACTTTTCGGATTTTTGGAATTTTTAGAATTTTGGACTTTCAAATTATGTGATTCTCGGGATTTTTCAATTTTCAAGATTTAAATTTTTTCAATTCTCATTTTTCAGCCTAGTTAGATGTGCAGGGTACAGTAATCCAGAAGAAAAAACTACAGTAATCTTCTCCAAACCTTACGTCTTTGTACGTTTTCCAATTCCAAAGTGTTTCAATATACTTCGCATAATTTTCAGCTATATTTTACTGAAATTTTGAACTTTTGAAAAAATAAGAAAAATTGGGAAAAGTCTTCTAGACAGCTGAAACATATAATTAGGCCAAAATCTAAGCTCTTGGTAGAATTCAAGAAAATTAGGAAAACCTGAAAATTCAAAATTACCGTATACACTTTAATAGAACGCCACCCGGACCGTCCACTTTGAGCCTAAATATCTCACTTAATTTGAAAGATATCAAAAAGTGGTCAACTGATAAAATGTTTATCATGATATCAACAATATTTTATCAGTTGACTACTTCTTGATATCTCTCACAAGAAACGAGATACATAGGCTCATTCAGATGGCGTTCTATTAGAATGTTTGGTAGTCAAAATTTCAGACAAAAAACAATTAAAGTCGCCCACTTCAACCGAAATCAAGAAAAGTGGGCGTGGCTAATTCCTAGAGACTATAAGATTTAGAGAGACGTAGGAGGCAGGAAACCGGTACAAAGCAATTATAGCTGGAGAGAGAAAAAGAGAGAGAGAGAGAGAGAGAGAGAGAGAGAGAGACGCAGAGAAAAGCAGAATTCTCCAATTGAATAGAGAAAAATGATGATTTTGTGACCTTGAAAATGACTTTCTAGGCGGCCCAACATGGGGGACAATAAATAAAGAAATTGCGCGAAAATGGAAATGACAGATTTTAGAGAAAGAGAGAGAGAGAGAGAGAATGAGAAGAGACGCAGACAGTTATAAAGATGGAATTTTGAATTCTAGCTGGTCTCTAGGATTATTAGGACTTTTATAATTTTTTAGATTATTCTCGGAAAATCGAATACTCTCAATTTTTTGTGAATTCTGGGCTTTAATGGATTCATGAAATTTTGGATTTTTCAGGATTTTTGGTTTGTCTATATTTTGAAATCCTAGACTTTTGAAAATACGAAAAATTCCGAATATTTAGATTTTTTCAAGTTCTCAGGATTCAGGAGTCTAAAATCAAATTTCTCAAAAAAGCAGAAAAAAAGAGCTACGCAGTTTGAAAATGAAAAAAAAATAAATTAATCAAATTTTGCATAAAAGTTGTAGGCTATAATTCATATGCACCTGTCTAATATGAGAAAATCAGAAAATCGGTGAAGCTTGAAAATTTCAGATTTGCTTGAAAAAAAAAATTTCTTTTGTTGCAGAAAAAAAGTACACAATTTTTTGCTTTGCTGACTTTTGCTGACACAGCAATACAGCAAAAAAATATATTTCCCTTCTTTTCTCGCCGAGCGTTCACTTTTTTGTTACGGTTTTCTTACTCTTTTTTCGATCATCAAATAAATAAAATATATTTTCTCTTTTTTTTCTCTGCGTCTCTCTCTCTCTCCCTCTCTCTCTCTCTCTCTCAATTTTTTGAGAAGCTGCAAGGAATGTTTTTTGAATGAATCAAAAATATTGTACTACTATACAGAGAGACTAAAAACTACAAAACTCGCCAAGCCTCAGTAAAAAAAACAAAATTCAGAGTTCAAAATTTGGTCATTTTTGGACGGTCTGAAAATCTATCTCAGCATTTTTCAATTTTTCTGAAAATTACAGAGTATACTAAACAAAACACGGGCTACATTTTCGTAGTTGACACTTTTTTTTGAAAATCAAGTTCTGGGAAGATATGCCACGTGGAAGACACCCCCTGCACCAACACCACCCCCTCGGGCGCCACCACCTCCGCGCCTTGTTGTCTTCCACGTGGTACATCTCCCCAGGACATGATTTTCAGAGAAAAGTGTTAACTACAAAAATAAAGCTTTAATCTAATTTAGTATACTCTGAAATTTTCAAAGAAATCGATAAATTTTTAGCTGGAATTCCTGGCATTCAAAAAATGACATTTTTAACCGAAATTGCAAATTTTTGACTCATTTTGGGAAAGCTAGTATAACTCCCCAGGACATGGTTTTCAGAAAAAAGTGTTAACTACAAAAATGAAGCGCATGTTTTGTTTAGTATACTTTCAAAATTTCAGACAGAATGAAAAAGTTTGAGCAAGATTTTCGGACAGCCAAAAAAGTGTCATTTTTGACCAAAATTGCAAATTTTTGACTCATTTTGGGAAAATCAGTATATCTCCATGGGACTTCATTTTCATGAAAAGTTGTCAGCTACAAAAATAAAGCTCTAATTTTGATTAGTCTATTCAGAAATTTTCAGACAAATCGAGAAAATTTGAGATAGCTTTTCTAGAGTTCAAAGTTGACCATTTTACTTAAAATTGCGTTTCTCGGAATCAATGTCTGTTACCAATCTCAAATATTTTAGACTATTTAAAGCGTTTTTTCAGCCAAATTTTGTAATTTTTGTGACTACTCTCTTTAAATTAGCTTCTTAACACTTTCAAGGGTTTCCTGAACCAATAAACCCTGTATAATCATTTTCGACCTTTTTTCCCTATTTTTTTAATGTTTAAAAATGGGGGGACAGGAGATTTTTTGTAGTTTTTTTGTAGCTAGAGTATGCATTCTACCGTAACGGTGTACAACGCATAATGTCACTCTGCGTACAGCTGTCGTCCTCGCCTTTATGTATGCAATCGGGCGTGCGCTTTCTCTTTGCCCGCGTGGCTCAGTCGGTAGCGGCGCCGCACCCTCAATCATCGCCCTCACAAGTTCAACTCCTCGAGGGGCATCTTTGAACGGGATTTCGAGAACATTATTTTTCTCATGTCCCCCCACCTTTAAACACATTTTCGACCCGAATTTTTTGTGGATTTATAAACAATATTTCCTCTCTTCCCACCTCTTATCCCGATTATTTCCCAATGGCGACAGCGGGGGCGACGAAACGGCGATGGCGGACATTCGAATTCTTGCGTTCCTTGCTCAATCCGTGAATCCTTCTCCTGTGAGTTGCTCCAGATGCTCCTGTGCACTTCTTCTTCTTCTCTGGAAAAATGAGCATTAAATTAATGACGGGTGTTTGGGAGGGATTGGGAGAAGAAGAAGAATGTTAGGAAGAAGAAAAAAAAACGGGTGGAGCAAAAAAATAAAGAGAGCACAGAAAGCAAAAAAAAAACTATAGATTGTTGTGCAATCTGGAAATAATAAGGAAAATAGAGAGAGAAAAATAAAAAAGACACTTTAAAGTCCCAAAAAAAAAACATACTTGTAAAATTCCGGGCCGTCCCGCTAAAGCCCGGGCCTGAGGAAATTTTCAAGTCCCGGGCCCGGCATCAAAAATTATGTATTTTTGAGCCTAAGTTTCACATTTTTTTTTGTTATTTTGGATTGTTTGTCTGTTTGCTCTAAAAAGATTTTTTAAAAAACTCGAAAAAATTTTTTTGAAAAAATCACATAAGGGTCCCCCCTTATGTGTTTTTGAAAAAAGGAAAAAAGCCCGGGCCCGGCCCGTTACAAGTATGGAAAAAAAACTTTTTAAAACTTTCAAAGAAATTTGAAGAAGAACTTTTTACTTTTTCGGGATTTTTAGGGATTTTGAGACTTTTGAAAATTTTTGGAAAATAAAATTCTCGAAAATACAAGTATTTCCATAATTTCAAAAATTCCAGAAAATCCGAAAAAAAAATCCCCAAATTCACTTTTTGAAGATCGTTTAGAAGGATTTCTTGGAATTCCAGAATCCCGAAATTCCAATTTCTAGATTTCATTCAAGTAATTAAATTTAAAAAAAAGAAAAGTAAGGTCATTTAGGGGAATTATCATAATCAATTCTCTAATTGCCTCAGAAATCGATTTATTTCAACTAATCATGTTCACCTAATTTTAATGATTTTATTGAAATTTCGGGTGAAGGGAAAACGGAAAGGTGTGTGGAAATATGAAAACATGGAAATGAAATGAAACAAACACATAACATAATATGTAATAAACGGAGATAAGAGAGAAGGTGAGAGAGAGAGAGAGAGAGAGAGAGAGAGAGAGAGAGAGAAAATTGAAAATTAGGTTGCAACCAGTTGATTTTGAAGAAATAGATCATGATCTAGATCAAACCCGCGTCCAATTTAAAATTATTAAAATTCTTATGTTCTCGAAATTCCGTTTAAATATGCCCCTCGAGGAGTTGAACTAGCGGGGGCGATGATTGAGGGTGCGGCGCCGCTGCCGACTGAGCCACGCGGGCAAAGAGGCAGCCGGCGCCAAAATGCATACATAAAGGCGAGGACGCCGGCTGTACGCAGAGTGACATTAAGCGTTGTACACCGACACGGTAGAATGCATACCCTAGCTACCAAAAATCCTACGAAAATTTTTTTTTGCTAAAATCTGAAAATCCCAAGATCCTAGAATTTCTGAAAACCTAAATTCAAAACTTTGCAACTAATTTCATCGAATTCTGAACATCTAAAAATTCCCCAAAATCTTGAAAACATCAATTTTGAAAATTTTCTTCAAAAATCCCCAAAAATCTGTCTAGATGTGCTCTAAAGCCTCGCTGACACCAATAAAATAATAAAAAATGTGTGCTCTTGCTCTCCAGAGCTTCAAGATTTATATATATATATATATATATTTATCCCTCTAATTCTCTGCGCCTCTCTCTCTCTCTCTCTCAATAGCTCATGAAGAAAATAGGAAAACAGCTGGTTGAACTCTCTAAAATGACATTTGGACCTAGAAATTTGTGTGAAGAACATAGAACATCAATTTTTACGATTTTCGGAACATTTTGGCGGGAAGAGAGGAGAGAAGATGTAGAACATATATGGAAGGATTAGGTATATTCCGAAGATGAAAATGGAAAGAGAGAGACAGAGAGAAATAAGAAGACGTGGTGGGGAGATTAGGCTATGGAGATTAGACAGGATAGGCAGAAGAGGAGGCGTTATCAATTGATATCCGTTAGTCATTGATTAAGAAAGGGAGAGAGTGCAAGAACGGGAGAGACGCAGACAGTGAGAGCATGTATTTGGAAAAGTTGAAAATCAAAAATTCTCAGCAGTTTTAGAGCTGTTAAACGTTGAAAATCATGATTTTTGGGCTTTAAAAAAATCTAAAAAATCGATTTTTTAAATTTCTCAATAATTTGCTTGGATGGCCTAGTGGGATTTTTGAGCTGCTATTTTCGGATCTAGGGGTTCCAGGTTCGACCCCCACCGGCGGCAATTTATTAAAAAAAAATTTTTTTTTGGAGATTTCCAGACGCGGCAAGTTCAAAAATCGAGGTTGAAATGCACAGAAAATGACTTTAAGTGTACTTTTGGGTCAAAAATGAGAACGAAAATTGAAAATGTTCAGTTTTAGTGCTGAAAATCTTGAAAATTACATTTTTAGACTCAAAAACACTTGCAAAACCACCAAAAACAACCAGAATCCCATATTTTCATTCAAAAATTTGACTTTTCCAGATTTTTCCAAAAATTGCTCGGATGGCTTAGTGGGGTTTTTGAGCTGCTGTTTTCGGATCTAGGGGTTCCAAGTTCGACTCCCACCGGTGGCAATTTGTTTTTAAAGTTTTTTGGAGATTTTCAGACACGGGAAATTCAAAAATCAAAATTAAAATGTTCTGAAATTTTTCCAAATCAGCCATAAAAGCCTTGAGATCAAATTTGGCCTAACTTTTCCTTCCAAAAAAAAACCTAGGCCACCACAGAAAAAGCAAACTCTGTGACCTTATCGCCTCGAAAAACTAGTCAAAAATTGTTCTCTGCCTGTCTCTTCCCAAACAATTTTCAATGTTTGTTCCCGATTTTCGCCCCCCCCCCCCCCCCTAAAAATCATCGGGCGAAAGAGTTTCAATCGGAAGAGAGACGCAGAGATGGAGAGAGAATTAGACAGTTAGAGAAAAGACTAACACGTCATCGGAGCGACGGATTACTGTCATTGAAATTTGTCTATTTGTGTAAATAGGAGATCTAGTAAGGTTAAGAGAGATGGAGTAAATAAAATGTCTTTGATAATAATGGGGAAACTAGACTTTCTGATTCTCTGCGTCTCTCTCTCTCTCTCTCAATTTTGGGGATATTGAGAGTTTTGGGATTTTTAGATTTTTGGTAGATTTAATCGAATTTTTAGTTTTATAGTTTTTCGAGAAATTCCCATATAAGGAATGGGAAAAAAAGAGAGAAAGAAAAAAAGGGGAAGAAAGTCAATGTCACAAAAAAAGGGAAAATAGAGAAAAAAGAATACAATGGACACACAAAAAATGAAAAAAACGAAAAGTTTTCCTTTTCTTCTATATGTTTTCAGGTGGTTTCCAGGAGACGAGAGATTAGGAAGTGAGAGAGAGAGAGAGAGAGAGAGAGAGAGAGAGAGAGAGAGAGAGAGAGAGAGAGAGAGAGAGAGAGAGAGAGAGAGAGAGAGAGAGAGAGTGAGAGAGAGAGAGAGAGAGAGAGAGAGAGAGAGAGAGAGAGAGTGAGAGAGAGAGAGAGAGAGAGAGAGAGAGAGAGAGAGAGAGAGAGAGAGTGAGAGAGAGAGAGAGAGTGAGAGAGAGAGAGAGTGAGAGAGAGAGAGAGAGTGAGAGAGAGAGAGAGAGGGCCACCGGTGGGGGGTCGAACCTGGAACCCCTAGATCCGAAAACTGCAGCTCAAAAACCCCACTAAGCCATCCGAGCAATTTTTGGAAAAATCTGGAAAAGTCAAATTTTTGAATGGAAATATGGGATTTTGGTTGTTTTTGGTGGTTTTGCAAGTGTTTTTGAGTCTAAAAATGTAATTTTCAAGATTTTCAGCACTAAAACTGAACATTTTCAATTTTCGTTCTCATTTTTCGTGTATGTGTATGTCATGTAGTTGGCATGGGTGAAAAGCGGCTTAGGCTTATATAGAAATGTACTAAAAATGAGTCCCCCTTCAGATATATATATATATATACATAAATATATGACAACATGAAAAAAGAGAGAAAGAGAAGAAGAAGAACAAAATTGGAATAGTTGGGAGGGGACGGGATTTCGATGGGAGAGAGAGAGAGAGACAGAGAAATCTAAAATATCTAGATGATGTGAGTGACAGAACTCAGCGAAATGGACGATGATTAGGTGGTCTGGGAGTTTGGGAAATAAAAAGTGCATTTTTGTGATTTTTGGATTATTCAGGATGTTGTGTAATTTCCAATCTGAACTGTTTGGATTTTCAAATAATTCCTAGTAGGGGTTTTTTTTTGAAAATAATGAAATTTTGCATGGAATTTTCGGGATTTTTTAGAATTTTAGAATTTTAGAATTTTTGTGATTTCCCCCCATTTTCTCTGTTTTTTGTATGGTTTTGTGTTTGTATGTGTGTGTGTACACATAAAAATAGAACGACCAAATGGAAATGAGGTAAAATTGGAGGGGGGAGGTAGGAATTGAATTGAATTCACCGAATTTATCGAAAGAGAGAGAGAGAGAGAGAGAGAGAGAAAAAGGAAATCGTTCCTTTTGGAAGTGGTCGGGAGGGGGTGCATAATAATTAAAATGCCTCGTTCCCTATAATTTTCCATCATCCATTTTACCCTATTTGGAGATTTCCATAAGGGTTTTGGAGATTCCAGAAAAAAAAACCTTAAAATCCTAGAAAATAGCACAAAAAAAACACCAAAACCACTTCAAACCAGGCTACATTGGAATGTTACTAATCCATAAAAATCTGAAAAAAAAACCAAAATGTACACTTGACATCTAGATCCTAATTTAGCTTTAAAACAATCAGAAAAAATTGAAAAAAATCTCCGGGAAGATTCTAAAATTAGTCTAAAATTGGACCAATTCTCACGCCCACACTTCTGGATTTTCAATTCTGAATGGACTTCTAATACCCCCCCCCCCCTTGGGAAACTTTTCAATGGAATTCTCCATGGGGGGAATTTCAGAAATTCAGAAATTCAGAAATTCAGAAATTCAGAAATTCAGAAATTCAGGAATT